GTAAAGATAACACTGTACGTGGTAAAGTACTTCAAAAAGTAACACTGTAACTTGTGAAGTGCCATAAAAAGGGCTGTGAATTGTAAAGTACTTTTGAAAATAACAATGTAAATTTTAATTACTGTAAAAATAACATTGTACATGGTAAAGTCCTTTAAAAAGTAACACTGTAACTTGTGAAGTGCCATAAAAATCATTGTAAATTGTAAAGTACTTTTGACAATAACACCATAAACAGCAAAGTACTGTAAAAATAACACTATTCATAGTAAGGTAGCAACACTTGTGACGTGCCATTAAAAAAAACCTTGTAAATTATAAAGTACTTTGAAACATAACACTGTAAATTGCAAAGTGCCGCAAAAAGTAACATTATAAACTGTAATGTGATATAAAAATATAGTAAATTGTAAAGTACATTAAAAAGAAACACTGTAACTTGTGATGTGCCATAACAAGCACTGTAAATTATAAAGTATTTTTTATAACACTGTAAATTGTAAAGTACTGTGATAATAACACTCTACATAGTAAAGTACTGTAAAAGCAACACTGTAACTTGGGAAGTGCAATACAAAACACTGTAAACTGTAAAGTACTTTTAAAAATAATACTATGAATGGTAAAGTACAGTACAGCTGACTCACAACACTGACTGCAGTAACATACAGTATTCACTGTATGACTGTACTCATTACTAGCAGTGTTGACAGTCAGGATCTCGGCTGAGCTGCGTCTGCACGTACGCCATAAATCTCTCTGCAGGTCCTGACCTGTCGAGGATCGTCCATCAGTCCGACGCTGAGACACATTTTCCAAACATTCTCCAACTGTTTTCAGCAGCGTGTTCAGCTTTCAGTGCTTCGTGTGATTAACAGTCTAATTATCTTAGCATTTCTACAGTTACACCGTTATCATACACATCAGCTCATCTAAAGAAAGGATAGACGTGTTATTGTACTCATTAAAATACGAATGCTAAATTTAATTAATTCTCCACAAAGTCAACACTTTCATTTATTTATTTAATTAGCTCAAGCTATTACACTGTTTGTCTTTTATCATAGATTATAGATTATATGTAGTCATTACATCACGTTCATCAATTTTAGCCACACAGTCGAGTCTATTAGAGACGACATTTACACAGTTCGAGATGGGCGTGTTATGATTCCGGCTGTTAGCACTGTGCTAACTGGAGGAGTCTAAGCTTCCACTGCTTGTTAGCTACATTAGCCTCGTAGCTGCAGCACTAAAACTAAAGTAGCAAACTTCAGACACCGAACGCGTCGAATGATCGACCACACTGAGGGTGACCGATCACAGAACTGTCATTTTAGACGAGAAAAAAAAACACATGCACGGTTGTGTGTAAAGGTTTTTTGCATTGTTGTTGAGAACAAATTATCTACAAAGACACGTCTGCACACTTCACTACACCATCACTGCTTATCTGCTGGATTTGACAAATCGGGAGAAAAATAAAACCTGAAATGTGGCCTGTGCAAAAGTTATGGCACATTTGTTTTTTGTGTTTTATTTTATTTATTTGTTTGTTTGTTTGTTTGTTTTTAATATGTTAAATTTAACATATAAAAAGAAATTTTAATTTTGCTCTTTTTGTGTTTGTGGTTTGTATCCTGCTGTTTTGTACGTGTGTCATGTGTATGTATGTATGTGTATTTGTGTGTGTATGTGTGTATGTGTATGTTTGTATATGTGTGTCTATATGTGCTTATGTGAGCGTTTGTGTGTTTGTGTGTGTAGTTACGTGTGTGTTTGTGTAGGTATGTGTGTACATGTATCTATATGTGCTTATGTGTGCTTATGTGTGTGTCTCTACGTGTGTGTGTGTGTGTGTGTGTGTGTGTGTGTCTCTATGTTCTTGTAGTGCTATACTTGTGAGGACCCCAAGTCCTCACTATGATAGGACTATATGAAATTTTTGCTCAAGTGAGGACATTTTACTCTCACTTGAGCATGTGTTGTTTTATCATAATTACTTTTTTTATTTGAAAACTAAAAGAGCAGAAAAACACAAAAATCAATAGAAACCTATGGACGTCCTCATATGTATAGCAAGACAAACATGTGTGTGTGTGTGTGTGTTTCTGTGTGTGTGTGTGTGTGTGTGTGTGTGTGTGTGTGTGTGTGCGTGTGTTTCTGTGTGTGTGTGTGTGTGTGTGTGTGTGGAAGGTCAGCTGATCACTCAGACTGTGATAAAATAAACAGACACACTGACACACTGTCTCTCTCACTGTAACCTCTAACCTCCACACACACACACACACACACACACACACACACATTCCTAGCGGCTCCAGACGCTGCTGAACGCTGCCGCTGTTTGTTCACTCTGAGTGGGGGGTGAAACACGGGGCGGGGTGAAGGGAGGGTTACAGTTTATCAGCGTGCTAACAAAAACTCTGCTATAAAACACAATGATTATTATTACAGGTTCTAGATTTGGAGTTCTAGAGCAGACTTTCAGGTTCTCGTACTGCAGCCCACATAAACCTGCTTACCTTAAAGTTTAACCTGAGCTGAAATAAGTGAACAGAATGTGAGGCAGATTAGATCTCTGTGACTCTTTTAAGGCAGATTTGCGTTTTAAAACTCCACTGTTTGGGTTGTAAACCTGTCGCCTCACGAGGACTCAGTCACGATTCATTAGTGAATTAATTCGGGAAAGTAACTGGAGGAACTACTCACAGGCCAAAGTCTGATTAGGCCCATCAGAAACTTACCTCCCCTACCCCCCCTCACTCCCTCACCCCCTACCCTCCCTTCACTCCCCCACCCGATGAACATATTTTTACTCTATCTATAGATTCAAACTCACTTCTTAAGCATTTTAGTAACAAAATAAGGTGTGATTTTATGAAATGGTATTTTAAAATCTTTACACACCCACCTACCCTCTTCATTCCTGTACTGCTTTGCTCTCGGCCCACCACAAATCTTCAGCCACTTTATTGATTATTATAATGATTATAATAATTTACAACATTTCAAAACTGATGCTGATACTTGTGGCCACTTGTATAAAACATCTTGAGTATATAGCCTCAGTTTAAAGCTATAAACTGTGGCTGATGCTTGAACTAAGGGTCTAAACTTTCCGCTTAAAAGATTTTATCACCTCACTTAAAGGAGAATTTCAAAATTCAGCCATAATCCAGTGTGTGAGGTGTAAACAGAGTCATTCAGAGTGGTTTGGTATGAAATGGTTCAGATGTCTTTACAGTGGTGGTGATAGGAACCAGGGGTCGCCATGACTACAACACAAATATAGACATTTTATTTACTATCCAGAACCACCAGTGAACCTACACGAGTCTTCTGAGTTTATATGGAATGTTGACGATGGAAAATAGTGGAAAATCTGAAAGAATAAGTTTTCTTTGGGGACTATTTTGCCTCACAGCACTCTGTATATCATGTATCCCTCCACCATGAATGGAGTTTAAAGCTAAAATCTTCTCAAAACTATCATAAAACAGTGTCTCAGTCATCAGGCAGTGAATTCATAACCATGTCATGTAGTAACTTTCCGTGAGGGAGATTTTAGAGGTGGACATCTGGTTCCTATCACCACCACTGTGAACAGTTCTGACTCTATAAGTTTCTCTAGAACAGAGAGTTTCACACCAAACCAGTCTGAACTGCTCTGTTTACATCTAAACCATTTAACTGTGCAGGGATTTTGAGAAATTGGTGGAGTTCCCCTTTAAGTCAAAGGAAAAACATAAGAGCAGAACTCACTTAAGGTGTTTAATCCAAGTGACTGGAGATCTTAATTATCACTAAAAAGCTGATTATTATTATTATATCAATAATAATAATAATATAATAATAATAATATCTATAATATTTATATTTATAATATTTATTAATAATTACTGGATTTAATATTAACCAGCTTTGCTTGAGTTACAGTCTCAGTATTACTTATTGCTCATTATTATACTCTTAAAAAGATGGTTCTTCAAGGGTTTCTTTAGTAAAGGGAACCAGAAATGGTTCTTCTGTTGTAACAAGCTGATCATCATCACAATAGAAGAACCCTTTTGGTGCTGTATAGAACCCTCTTTGAAAAAAAGGTTCTATATAGAAACATAACACATTCTCCATCAATCAAGAATGCAAAGCTGTAAGCATGTAAATGGTTCTCTGAGTGTTCATGGTTCTATATGGAACCATTGTCTTTACTAAAGAACCTTTGAACATAAAATAGAAAATGACACTAAGACAATAAAGGTACCCTCTTAAAAAAGATGGTTCTTCAAGGGTTCCTTAGTAAAGGGATGGTTCTATTTTGAAATATGAGTTCTAGAATCGTTTGCACACTTAAAGGGTTGAAATGGTTCTTCAGATTGACAAATAGATTTACAATGTCAAGCACTCTTAAAAGATGGTTCTTCAAGGGTTCTTTAGTAAAGACAGTGGTTCTATATAGAACCATGAACACTCAGAGAAGCCTTTGCATGCTTAAATGGTTCTCTGTATGGTGAAATGGTTCTTCAGACTGATGGGGAATGTGTTGTTGTGTTCTTGAAAGTGGTTCCACATCGCACCAAAAATGGTTCTAGTACTGTTACAATGTCAAGCTTGTAACAACAGCAGAACCCTTATTGGAGCTATATAGAACCACTTTCTCCATCAATCTGAAGAACCATTTCACCATGCAGAGAACCCTTTAAGCATGCAGGTGTTTCTATATAGAACTCATGACCCTAAATAGAACCATTCTCTTTACTGAAGAACCCTTGTAGAACCATCTTTTTTAAGTTTCTTGAGCTCCACCTGAGTCCGACTGCAGGCACCCGCAACGCAAACACTGAAACAAGCCCCGCCCACCTCTCGCAGCAGGTTACAGGTAAGAGTGTTTGGATTGGAGGATACTTAGTGGGCGTGGTCAGGGTGGGCGTGGCCTGGGAGGCTGAATAAAACCCTGCTGCTCTCTCTGAGTCCCGATTCTCTCTGTTTACTTCTTCTCCATGGCTCTCTCGCGATCTGTGTGCGCGCTCCTGGCGCTGCTGTGCGCGCTCACGCCGCCTGTGCGCGCGGCCGCGGGTCAGTACTGCCACGGCTGGGGCAGCTTCCCCGGATTCCGCTGCCCCGAGCGCCACGACGGCGGGGACGCGCGCTACTGCTGCGGCACGTGCACCGTGCGCTACTGCTGCTCGTCCCCGAGCGCGCGCCTCGACCAGAGCACGTGCGACACGGAGCGGCCGTACGGTGATGAGGACGGAGTTCGGACTGTCCAGCAAGGAGGTGAGAACGAAGGGCTGCAGGTCACTGAGGGCCGTGACGTCATTTGTGTTTAAATAATCGCGTTAAACACTTAAAAAGTTGGTATTTTAGAGAAAGATTATGGTTCTATGTAGAACCATGAGAGCCCTTTGCATGATTAAAGGGTTCTTCGCATGGTGAAAGGGTTCTTGATTGATGGAGAATGTGTTGTGTATGGTTCTAAATGGAACCTCTTTTGACAGTGGTCCTATATAGCACCCAAATGTTATAAGATTGACATCGTAACAGTAGAAGAACCATTTTTGGTGCTAAATAGAACCACATACAGCACATTCTCAATCACTCTGAAGGAGCCTTTCACCATGCAAAGAACCCTTTATTCATGCAAAGGGTACTTTGAGTGTTCATGGTTCCACACAGAACCATTTTCTTCACTAAAGAACCCTTGAAGAACCATCATTTTTCCATCCATCGTTTTTCAGTTTTTGACATTATTTGATAATGTCTGTTGCTCTTTACGTTGTGTGTAAATTTCATGATGAACGGAACAAAAGAAACGACCCAGAATGACCTGGAAAGACGTCTGGTTCCATTGACTTACATTAAAAGTAGAGTAGGTTTTTTCCTTCTCCTGTAAAGTTACTATTTTGGAGATACAGTTTTCTTCCGACAGCAGCGACATGAAGGTTAAATATGAGTTTGGATGTTTTAGTATCCTAACCATGAGTGTGTTTGGCGTCTCGGTTGTAACAAAACAAATTAAATAGCTGCAAAGTCAGTCGTTTTTCTCGAAGTTGGCATTAAAGCCTGGAGCTCTGAAAACTTTTTAAAAGAGTTTTTGTGCGTCTCAGTTTGTGATCATTATAATTATGTAATTGATGTAAAAATGAATGAGTTGAAGAATAGAATGGAATAACTACTTCAGCTTAAAAGCTGAAATTTCTGCCACAGTTTAGGCCCAGTTTGTGTCGTACATTCATGCTTTACTTGTTGTGCATTAAACTCCATGTATATTTCCAAACAACTTGAAAAATGAGTTTCAAAACTTAAATTATTTTAGGCAACAAGTTAAAGGTTTAAGTAAACTTTAAGGAACTTAAAGGTCTGGGTTTACAGTGTAGGAAGACTCAGGCACAGAAAAGTCAAACAGTATAAATCATGTAAAAACTGCACTGTAATATATATATATATATATATATATATATATGCAGTGCAAAATGTTTACAAAAACTTTACAGTACAGTTTGCAGTGAAACTAGAGTGGAGGCCGGACTCCTGGACTCGGATTAAGCCTAGTTTTGGACTAAATTGCAGCACCAGTTGTATTATTTTTGTCTTTAGTCTTAGTTTTTTGGGCTTAGTCTTGGTTTGGGAAACTGGACGTAAACGTATATCGGGCAACTGTACAGTGAATGACTGCAGATGATATTGTGAATCAGCTTTAGTCAGTACTTTAAAGTGCTTTTCCATTTACAGTAACTCCGCGGTCAGTAACTGTAAAATATACGGCACGTTCATAAACTGTAAAAGGGAAAAAGTAAATAAAATATGATAAAAGTACAATCAGTAATTATAGAATGCAATCACGGTAAACTAATACTTTACAGTGCCTGTCTGTAAACAAACTTTTTTACAGTGTAGGAAGCTATTCCTATGGAGCAAATCACTCTGAATGATTTCGTTGACATGTTAACCATTTGATTATGCATAAATTTTGGAAAATTGGTGGAGCTCCCCTTTAAGAACATGACGAAAAGCCAGGTGCTCCCAAAATGATGCGCAATCTCAAAAATCAGTGAAAGAGTCTAAGGGGTGTATTAGGACACTTGGATGAGCTCTGTGTCCCCAAACTTTTGACAGTCACTAAATCTTCTCTCTCTTTCTTTTCCTTTCTTCCTCCAGTTCCTACGTATCTGCCGTTCGTCATCGTGGTGGGTGCGTTCTTGTCCTTCGTTCTGCTGGGGACGATCGTGTCCATCTGCTGCTGCCATTGCGTGAAGCCCAAGCCCACCGCTGGATCACCCCCAGCCCAGACGAGCCTGCTGGAGCCCGTGATCGGCCCCTCCCCAAACAGCTCCACCCCCTCACGTTCGTCCACCGCTGGGTCCGCCGGACCCCACCCGTTTGCGGCTCCCCAGCCGCAGCCCTTCGTTCCTGCCCCTCCTCCGCTCCACCAGGGGGCGCCGCAGTTCTACCAGCCGTTCCTGAACTACCCGCTGCCTCCGGAGCACACCATGCTGATGGCGCCGGCCTTCCTGGACAGTCGCTCTGCGTTCGGACAGCCGCACGGACAGCCCTTCCCTCAGGCCCCCATGCACACGGAGCCCATCTTCCCCACCGTCACCGTCTGATAGTTCAGATGTCTTTACAGTGGTGGTGATAGGAACCAGGCGTTGCCATGACTACAACACAAATATAGACATTTTATTTGCTATCAAAACCACCAGTGAACCTACACGAGTCTTCTGAGTTTATATGAAATGATGATGATGATAAGAAAAATAGTGGAAAATCTGAAATAATAAGTTTTCTTTGGGGACTATTTTGCCTCACAGCGCCTTGCATATCATGTATCCCTCCACCATGAATGGAGTTTAAGGCCAAAACCTTCACAAAACTATCATAAAACAGTATCTCGGTCATCAGGCAGGGAATCCATAACCTTTTCATGTAGTAACTTTCAGTGAGGGAGCTTTTAGAGGTCGACATCTGGTTCCTATCACCACCGTGAATAATTCTGACTCTCTAGAAAGGAGCGTTTCACACCAAACCACTCTGAATGACTCTGTTTGCATCTGAACCATTTAATTGTGCAGGCTTGACTTGACAAAATGTCATTTTGTATTGTTTACCATGCAGTTATGGCAGCACAAGGAGGTTTGTGATATGCAAAAAAGTTTAGTAAAATAGTATTTATTAATATATAGCAATACAATGGGGTTTATGTGAATAATAACCACCTAACAGACTGCAATAGTGATCCTAAAGTATGGAAAATGCCGCCATAGCCAGTGAGACTCACAAGAACGTGGTCTAATGAAGGGAAAAGTGAAGAGGATGGACACAGTTCCCTCTGTTCTAAAGCCTTCCGGTCCAGTTTTGTGTATGTTTTTGGCACTGAAGTGTGTCATGACCACAATCCAGAAGTCCCAGCTTGAGCTCCAACAGATTCAACTTCATAACTGGCTATTTGTGTTAAGCTAACAAGTCAAACTGGTCACATAATAGTGAAGAAAATGCTAAAATGCACAGTGCTGTGGCTCCTTTTCAGAAAAAAAAACAAAATTACACACTTATTTCCCCCCATATTTCAAATGAAGTCGACCATCCAAGAAATGTTTGGTCCCTGAAGTTTGTTTCTTTAGCCTTAGCACTGCAGCTATGCAGCTAATGTAGCTAACAAGTAATGTGAGTTTCTTATTAGCATTATGCTCACGTCTAAATCATCACAAACTCCACCAATAACCTCTAAAGTCTCTAATAGTCTTAATTATGCTGTGTCTAACACTGTATGAAACACTGTTATCTATAAACATGGAGTAAAGTAGGCTAGCATGGCTAAAAACAGTATTAGCATCCAGCTAGCCTGTAGATTTTGGGGAAATGAGAAAACTGTGCAAATCCTCAAACTGTTACTCCAACATATCTGGTGTTTTAGTTCAGTTTTCAACAAAAAACCTGTAAAATTATTGTTGTGAATGAGATTTAAAAATGAATGGGTTGTTTTTTTTTAGCTTCTCTGTTTATGTTGGGCTACGTGGTCTGATATTGCTTCTCATAGGAGTGAATTGTGCTTAAAACATTTTTGTAAAATGATTTTTTCACACATTGTGTGGAGTTTATTTAAAGATGAAAGAAATAAAGCTTGGTTTTTTTAAGATGAACTGCTTGAACTGTTTTTTTTTTTTTTGGTATTAGCATAGATAACGTCTGTTTGTTTATGGCAGCTTCGTGCTAAAAGATTCAGAATGGCACCTGGGCGTCGAATTGGTTTAGTGAATGAAATGATTCATTTTGGCTAAACAGCGCATTAAAACGTCTATTAGCATGTCATATCTTGAGAATTAATTGAGTTTTTAGATGCACTTAAAGATAAATGTGTTAATTTAGCTTTACAATGTAGGGGATACTGCAGCTGCATCCCAAATGGCTGCCTGCTCCCTACGTAGTGCACTATATAGGGCATGAAATTGCAACTTAACAGTGCACTAATAGAAAGAAGACTTCAGCCACAGAGTTTATGACTTTCTATTTAACATTTAATGCACAATTTTGGGTGCAGAAGCCACACATTCAGGACATACACAGTGCACTACATAGGGAACATGGAGCTATTTGAGACTTAGCCCAACAGAGAATATACCAGAGAGAGAAAACAAAGGTTTTTGTCTTCTGTATTGTCTGCTACACTGTGATTAAGGATGCCTGTGGAAGTTTAATCACAAAGTATGTGAGCAGCAGGAGAACTGAAAGACAATACGCTCAAATCTCTTCACACCCCCGAGACAGAAACGAGGCCCTGGTGAGGGTGTTGGGTGTGTAAGAGAGAGATTAGCGCTTTAGAGAGCTCAGCAGGTGGTTATAAATATGCGTAAGAGGTCATTAAGTCTTTCTTGACGAGCCAGCTTAGTCTAGACCCAACGCTGTTCTAATGCAAAACGCCTAAATCTCTCCAGCTGAGCGGAGGAATGTGAACGGAAACACAATGCAGACTCATTTTACACTGAAACCTACTGTATATACAGTCGGAAGCAAAAGTTTGGGCACCCCAGGTCAATTTCCATGTGTTGTTGATTTTCTAAGTGCACATTTTAAAGCACAATTACTGTTTATTTATTGAATTTAACACATTGGAAAGCAATATAAAGTGCGCCATTACTTTTGCACAGACCACACTTTGTATGTTTTTTCCCAATACATTAAATTTGCACAAGAATGCAATATTTACATGTTCTCTTTAGAGGATGTGTAACTTATTTTAACTTAGAAAATCAATAAAACGTGTGATTGACCAGGGACTCCAACTTTAACATACAACTGTACAGGGGTGGAAAAGGGGAACTCCACCAATTTCTTAAAATGCTCCGTTCTAGAGAAACTTACAGAGTCAGAATTGTTCACAGTGGTGCTGATAGGAACCAGACGTCCACCTCTAAAAGCTCCTCACAGAAAGTTACTACATGAAATGGTTATGAATTCACTGCCTGATGACTGAGACACTGTTTTATGATAGTTTAGAGAAGATTTTGGCCTTAAACTCCATTCATGGTGGAGGGATACATAATATGCAGGGCGCTGTGAGGCAAAATAGTCCCCAAAGAAAACGTATTATTTCAGATTTTCCACTATTTTCCATCATCAACATTCCATATAAACTCAGAAGACTCGTGTAGGTTCACTGGTGGTTTTGATAGTAAGTAAAGTGTCTATATCTGTGTTGTAGTCATGGCGACCCCTGGTTCCTATCACCACCACTGTAAAGACATCTGAACCATTTCACACCAAATCTCTCTGATTATTTATCTCTCAACAATTATTCAGAAAATCTGGTGGAGTTTCCCTTTTGAGAGGCTGCACTTCTTTTGATAAAAGTACTCTTTAAATACACCGATTCTGACCACCTCCTTGTTTCTATGCTCATTGTCCATTTTATCAGCTCCACTTACTGTATAGGTGCCCTTTGTAGTTCTGCAATTGCATACTTTGCTACCGTGTTCTTCAGTGGTCAGGACCCCCATGGACCCTCACAGAGCAGGTACTATTTGGGTGGTGGGTCATTCTCAGCACTGCAGTAACACTGACGTGGTGGTGGTGTGTTAGCATGTGTTGTGCTGGTCTGTGTGGATCAGACACAGCAGTGCTGCTGGAGTTTTTAAACACTGTGTCCACTCACTGTCCACTCTATTAGACACTCCTACCTTGTCAGTCCACCTTGTAGATGCAAAGTCACGATAGCTCATCTGCTGCTGCACAGTTTGTGCTGGTCATCCTCTAGTCCTTCATCAGTGGCCACAGGACGCTGCCCACAGGACACTGTTGGCTGGATGTTTTTGGTTGGTGGACTATTCTCAGTCCAGCAGCGACACTGAGGTGTTTAAAACCTCCAGCAGCGCTGCTGTGTCTGATCCACTCAGACCAGCGCAACACACACTAACACACCACCACCACGTCAGTGTCACTGCAGTGCTGAGAATGATCCACCACCCAAATAGTACCTGCTCTGTGAGGGTCCATGGGGGTCCTGACCACTGAAGAACAGGGTAACAAAGTATGCAGAGAAACAGATGGACTACAGTCTGTAACTGTAGAACTACACAGTGCACCTATATAGTAAGTGGAGCTGATAAAATGGACAACGAGCGTAGAAACAAGAAAGTGGTCAGAACGTTATGCCTGATCGGTGTACGTGTCCAGCATTTCTTCTGAAATTCTGAAGGTGTTAATAGTGAGTTTGTGCCGCAGTAACAGCCTCTACTCTTCTGGGAAGCGAGGATTTGACTGAGCGTTAGTGAGGTCAGGTACTGATGTTAGATGGTCAGTTCTGGATCAATAATAATCCCAAAGGTATTGGATGGAGCTCCATCACTCCAGAGGACACAAATGCAGATCTACTGCATCCCTATAACCTAAACCTTCTATCTCAACGACAAAGACAAAGACATACTTTACTTCCAAACTAAGTGTTTCAGTGTGTTTGTTAAAGAAACAGATTCAGAGAATTAAATGATCATCAGGGTTTCTTTTTTTGTTATTGCTGTAGCATCACAGCATCGCCCTGGTCAGCTCTGTCCCTTTAAATAAACCAGAATTACGCTGAGCTGATTCACACAGAGGCCTTTCACACTTCAGATTCCTCTCTCCATTAATATGGAGGGAACACTGCCCCCCTCAGGATACAGAGGGAAACTCTATATCCGGTCTGAGAGACCCAGAGATCAAAACTAAGCCGAGGAAAAACACAGATCAAAGAGAAACTACATGTCTGTATATCTACATACAAAAACTGTACAGACTTCAGTTGAGCGATTATTAGAGTTTAATAATAAAAACATACACATACAATCAGCCACACTACACAAACAATACATGAACACAGGAGCTTCATCAACAGGACCGAATGTGCTGTGAAGACCCTGCAGGCTTTCTGCAATTCTCCAACATTCCACAGGAGTGTTCTAGAGCTGGAACCAAGGGTACTCTAGAACCATCTCTGGAAGTGAATGTGTGGTAGAACTGCCTCTAGAAACGAAGTAATCTCCAGAACCAGCTCTGGAACTGAATGTATTGTATAACTTGCTTGAAAATACAAGTGCACTCTAGAACCGGCTATGGAATAGTGTTCAAGAATCAGTTTTGGGACTGTGTTTGATCTAGAACTGCTCTGCAACTAGAAACTTGTTTCTGGCACCAAGCATTCTATCACAGGCTCTAGAATTCAAGAATCAGCTCTGGAATATAGTGTGAGCTATAACTGATCAGGAACTGAATGTGTTCTAGAATTGTCTCTGGAACCAAGCATGCTTTAGAACCGGCTCTGGAACTGAATCTTGTAAAACTGCCTGTAGAAACCAAGTGAGCTCTAGAACCAACTCTGGGGCTGAATGTATTGTATAACCTGCTTGAAAAAAACGTGCACTCTAGAACCAGCTCTGGAATAGTGTTCAAGAATCAGTTCTGGGACTGGGTGTGACCCAGAACTGTTTTGCAACTAGAACCTGTTTCTGGCACCAAGCGTTCTATAACAGTTTCTAGAATTCAAGAATCAGCTCTGGACCACAGCTCTGGAGTGTAATCTAGAACTGGTCTGAAACTGAATGTGTTCAAGATTTGTCTCTGGAACCAAGTGTGCTCTAAAGCTGGCTCTGGAACATAGTGCTCTGCAACTCAAACTTGTCTCTGGCGCCAAGAATTCTATAACAGGCTCTAGAATGTAAGAATCAGCTTTGGGATGGGGTGTGATCTAGAACTGATCTGGAACTGAACGTGTTCTAGAATTGTCTCTGGAATAAAATGTGCTCTAGGACAGGCTCTAGAACATACAGCTCTGCAACTCGAACTTGTCTCTGGCACCCAGCATTCTATAACAGGCTCTAGAATTCAAGAATCAGCTCTGGACCACAGCTCTGGAGTGTAATCTAGAACTGGTCTGAAACTGAACGTGTTCTAGAATTGTCTCTGGAATAAAATGTGCTCTAGGACAGGCTCTAGAACATACAGCTCTGCAACTCGAACTTGTCTCTGGCACCCAGCATTCTATAACAGGCTCTAGAATTCAAGAATCAGCTCTGGAATGGAGTGTGATCTAGAACTGGCTCTGGAACATACAAACCTTCCTAAGAAATGAGTCTCTGTGAACTTTGTTCAGTTCATATTGAGATCCATGCGGATTTTTCTGTCAATTTTCTATCTCAGGCCAAATGACAGAGACAGACATAACACACAGACACAGATGTTACAGCAATACAAAAATAAAACAATGAAAATGATGTGAAATCTAACATATCTTAGTACTGGACACCTGAAATGGTGAGCACATGATGTGTTTTCGTTTAATAACTGTTAACATGAAGAAATCAATAAAGAGGAAGAGGAGAACTCAGAGACTGGACGCCAAACTGGCTACTCAGCACAGTGGGAATGGACGAGTGTCCCAGGAAGTAAGTGTGGTCTGTGTTGTGTTACTCGTCAGGTTTCCTCTTAGGCTTTTTGGGGTTGCGCGAGCGGCTCTTGGCTTTGCAGAGAGGACAGATCGGAGCGTTTCGGTGGATCTGCTGATGGCAGGACAGACACGCCTGGACACGAAGAAACAGACCAATCAGACACAAACGAATAAATCTCAGCAATTAGAAGCCTTTAAATTTGTTTGTTGATGTATGAAGAGTAAAGATGGAGCGCATTACTGAATGGTCAGTACTGTGCAAACATCAGAGACCACCTTTCATTTTTTTAATTTCCAGTCAACGCAGCCATTAAGGACAAGTTCATCTCAGCTGTGTGAGTCTCAGTGAGTCACTCTTCACCTTCATTCCAGCTTCCGTTCTTTTCAGAAGACTCGCTTTCAGTTCCTCAAAGAATCTGCAGACACACCTCCAAAGTTCAGTCTTAGAAGCTGGTTGATCATTTCTGAAGTAATCAAACACATTCAGTGGTGTTGAGGTCTGGACTCTGGGGTGGTCAGTCCATCGTTCAGCTTCTTTGTTTGATGTGTCCGTCTCCTTTTCTCAGTGAGGTTCTTCTTGACAGCTACACATCCTTTCAGACCCACAGCGCTGAGTCGTCTTCTCACAGTGGAAGGATGGACAGAAACACCTGTGGATGTTTTCAGATCTGAAGCAGCTTGATTTTCTTCTCTCTCTCAGAGATGAAAGCTTTAAGTGCTGTTTATCTGACGGGGACAGTTTTGGGGTTGACCAGCTCTTCCAGGTGGTTGTTAGGAGGTACATTTTCCAGTTTTTGGAAACTCTTCACTTACTTTCCTTTGACTTTCTCCTTCCTTATGCAAGTGGATTGCCTTATATTTTATCTCTGAAGGGTCTCTGCCTTCTGCACAGTACTCTATATAAATACAGTATACCTGCACCTATAAAAGGATAGAGCTTGTGAAGAATATGGACTGTGTATATAAACACAGCCAGCTCAGATGGAGAGTCTGTATACAGAGTGTAGAGGACAGATGGTGCATGTACAGTGTGTATAGATATGGATATAGATCTGTGTGTGTGTGTTTGTGTACCTTCATGGGTGGGGGCTGCTGTCTGAAAGTAGCCGGCTGCCGGGTGTCCTGCTTTCTTGCTGCCTGGAGCTGCTGGGCCGCGGCTGCTGCTGCTGCTAAGGATTCTGGGATTGGGGGTTCCTGAGGTTCGGTCTGCCACTCGGCCTTCTGCTTCTCAAAGTAACTAAAGAGAGACAGCGAGAGAGAAAACGAGGATTTAGACATTTATATCATTACTGATAGAACAAAACACTGTATCTCCATTTCTGTCATTTTCTGTTTTTCACAGAATATGAAAACACCAGCTGCTCTTTACGATGTGTTTATAGTTCCATGATGAATGGACCAATAGAAATTATCCAAAATGAAAAATATATAGATATTTTTTATTGCCTTCCATTCAAAGATACAAATATTTTTGCCTTCTTCTGAAGTAATAATATTTTGACACATTTATATATATATATATATATATACATATATATATACACATATATATATATATATATATATATATATATACTGTAAGTTAATACAGTATTTTTTCCAAGCAATAATAATATAATAATAATAATATCCCCATATGTATTATATGTTTTTATATGTAATTATAATATGCCCCATATGCATTATATACATGTCTCTATATGTAATAACAATATCCCCATATATATTATATATGTTTTTATGTATAATTATAATATGCCCCATATACACGTCTCTATGTGTAATTACAATGTGCCCCATATATAATATAAATATGTCTCTGTATGTAATTATAATTACATGCCCCATATGTATTGTAGACGTCTCTATATGTAGTGATAATATGCCCCATATGTATTATATATATATATATATATATATATATATGTCTATATGTAATTATAATATTCCCCAAATGTATTATATATGTCTCTGTATGTAATTCTAATCTGCCCCAAATGAATAATATATATGTGTCTCTACAAGTAATTATAATATGCCCCATATGTATTACATACATGTCTCTATATGTAACTGTAATGTGCCCCACTGTGTATGTATTATACATATGTCTCAGTACATAAGTATCTATGAGTAATAATATGCCCTATTTATGTTATGTCATTATATATACATGTAAGTACCTATGCGTGATATGTAATAAACAGAGAGTGATACTGACTCCAGAGAGAGTCTCTCTTCCTCTTGGCTGAGGTCCGGCAGTCTCTGGAGACCGAGGGTCACTCGGAGGGCGTCCACGTGCTCCTTCAGTGGCTTGTACTCGTCGTGCAGCCTCCGCGTGGACTCCAGCAGCTTATTCAGATCACTCTCAGACTGCTTTATAGTGTTCTCCATCTGACACACACACACACACACACACACACACACACACACAGTGAGGACGTCAAAGCGATGGTTCAGGATTACAACCAAATTCACATACATTATTATCTATCATGCAATACATGGAGTAAAATTCGCTGTACGTACTGCTTTTAGCTACGCAACACACTTTTGTCCATTTTATATGTACCAACCACATTAATATCAGCGTGAATTAGTCGCAGTTCCTCCACGTGGGCCATCTTCTCCTGCAGCAGGAGATCCATTTCCTGTTTATATTCCCTCAGGTGCTTCTCCTCGTTCTCCAGAGCCTGGAACTCGCTCCGCAAACGGGCCTTCAGCTTCTCCATCTGAACCGTCTTATTCCTAAACAACAAACAGTAAACAATTTCCTTGCTGTATATTATGCAGTACAAGCTGAGGAGGCACCGGTATGGGGATTCTGGGCCGATGCCGATATCTGATGTGTTTCATGTAGATATCTGTGGCTGCCAATAAATGATTTATAAAAATGTAGAAAAATGGGGCGGAAATTTACATCAGCATTAAATACAAATATAACATTTATTTCTATATCTGTACAAAAGATGGTTTTTAAGGGTTCTTTAGTAAGAAAAATGGTCCTATATAGCACCATGAACACTCAAAGAACGCTTTGCATGATTAAAGGGTTCTTGCATCATGAAAGGGTTCTTCAGACTGATGGAGAATGTGCTGTAGACGGTTCTATAGGGAAGGAGATTTTAGTGGTGGACGTCTGGTTCCTATCACCACCACTGTGAACGATTTTGACTCGGTAAGTTTTTCAACACTCTTAAAAAAATGCTGGTTCTTCAAAAGCGCTTTTGTAAAGAAAATGGTTCTATATAGAACCATGATCACTCAAAGAACCCTCTGCATGGTTAAAGGGTCCTTTGCATCATTAAAGCGTTTTCTATAGCACCCAAAAAGGGTTCTTCAATTGTTACAAGCTGGACATAGAAGAACCATTTTGGGTGCTATGGAAAAATAGAACCATCTACAGCACATTCCCAATCAGTCTGAAGAACCATTTCATGATGCAAAGAACGCTTTAATCATGCAAAGGGTTCTTTAAGTGTTTATGGTTCTATATAGAAACATTTTCTTTACTTAAGAACCCTTAAAGCACCGTCTTTTTTAAGGGTGTCGACTTAAAAATGCAGTAAAACTAATAAAAATGCATGTTTTTAGCGAAGTGTCACCTAAACACTCTGCTCATCATCGAAAATTGGTTTTAAATATTAGTCATATCTGAACATGTGATGCTGACACACTTTGTTTACATTGATATGAGTCTGATATCACTGTTTACTCTCACTACAAGCAGTTTTATGATATTTCAGGCTACATTTGTCACAGAACTGAATCAGATTTGCTGTTTTTCAGTATCTAGCACAGTGTTTTCCGCTGATATTGGCCTGATATTAATACTGGGTACAGAACAGGCGCCAATATTACCAATATTAATAAAGTTAAAGAGCACCTGGAGCTTCTGGCCAAACATTTTAGGTGTTAAGAATCCCTCATGTTTCTTTTTGTCAGCGTTACACCAAAATTATTCCGCTGAAAAACAGACAATTAGGACATTTAGGATTAAAACCTGATTTTTTCACTTTCTAATAGGAATCGACAACCAACAGTTTCCTGTAGATCCTATTAGGAAACTATAAGACGCATCTGGAATCTGTTCCAGAACACCTGTTAAACCATAAGAGTCCTTTATACTGTGATATGAACCCATCAGGACAAACACAGAACACCATTAGTGGATACTGGACAGCAGCAGAAACTTTTAAAGGCTTCTATGGTTTTTCGGCTGTGCAATGTTGTTAACTAATGTTTTAGTGTCAGTGCCACATCAACACTGTCACACCTGCAGCACTGAACACCCTACAGGCCTAAACACTGGCTTACATTTCAGAATCAGAAGCAGGGAGAGACTTTTATGATATTATTTACCATTTCTAAACCAAATCATGCTAATAAACGTGTAATAACAGCTGAATAACAAAGTGTTTTGGTCAGCTCTTTGGTTAGCTTAGCCTATTGTGGCACATAAAAGACTCGGGCCAACTTACAAGCGTTATTAGCATTTGTCACGGTAAAAATATCAAAAGTTTAATAAAGATTATTCACAAAAAGAGAAGCTAAATTAGAGCTACAGCGGTCTGAGGGGTCAGATTAGTCCGAAATCCGCCAGATGTTCTGGACAAAAGCTGCCTCTGGCTCGCTGAAGTCAGTCCAGCTGAGCTGTCTTGGCTGTTTTTGTCCGGATTTATGTTCGGCTCACCTTATTTCCTTAATATTCTCCAGTTTGCACATGATCTCCTGCTCGTCCGTCATCGCGGGGCTGTTTATTAACCCCTTCTGGGTTTTTGTCAATGAGGGCGAAGCGCTAATTTCGGCTGCAGAAGCGTAAGCAAAGCTAGCCAGCTGTGCAAAACGGTACAAGCGGCTACCAACGGAGAAAAACTACACTTCCCATGAGCCTTTGCGGAGCCGTCTTAAAGAGACAGTAACGCAAAAAAAAGGCACGTTATCAACTTTGCCCACACAGCTCAAAGGGTTGGAATCAATAATAACTTAAACGATGTAGATTTAAAAGAATATGTTATTAAACAATTCAACAATGGTTTTTATTCAATAGCTCAAGTACTTTGGGAACCAAAATAAGTAATACATTGATAAACAATATAATATAATTTCCTTTTCTATTTAGAATTGTTTTCTGACATTTTATCTGTCTATCACAAGGAGGCACAAGGCAGCCTGGGTATACATTTTATTAGAACTTCATTTTTCGTTTTAAGTATTAATTTTATTAGAACATAATTCTGTATGAATCTAATATCTAATAAAAATATAATAAAGTTAACATGTTGAATGAATTTCTAATAAATTGCATGAATTTTATATATATATATATATATACACACACACACACACACACACACATATATATATATATATATATATATATATATATATATATATATATATATATATATATGTATATATATATATAATTTTGGGCCGTTTCTTTCAGTCCATTCATTATTATAATTTACATACAATGTAAAGAACAACAGGCATTATTAAAATATGTCTAAAACTGAAAAACGACAAAAATGGAGATACAAGGTTTTCTTCCAACAACAGCGATATCTATCTATCTATCTATCTATCTATCTATCATCACTATTTATATATATATATATATATATATATATATATATATATATATTAAATGAAATCAAAATGTAACCTTGTAAAATAATAAACAATCATTCTATATACAAATATTATGCTATTCATTTATAATGAATTACTACAGTGTAATATGATTCATTTGATTATTACTATGATACAATTATAATACTTTGTTGTAACTTTACAGTGATGATTCATTGAATCTTATATCCGGTAACCAAACTGAATGATTGTGTAACACACTAGCTTCCATGCTATGTTGATAGCATTCAATCAATGGTGCCAATGAATCAGTGATGAATCAAATGTTCGATTCACTGACCAAACCGTTTCAAAGAATCGTTTCAGAAAACCTAATTTTGATTTTTATGTAGAACATAGAACCATAAATACTCAGAGAGCTATTTGCATGTTTAAATGCAAACCCTTTTCAAAAAAGTTCTACATAGAACTATATACAACACATTCTCCACCAATCTGGAGAACCATTTCACCATGGAATTGCTAAAGAACCCTTGAGGAACTGCCTTTTTAAGAGCGCAGTTTTTTTTGTTTTTTGCTTTTGGGGGGGGGCGGTTAGAGAACCAATGATGTTGAATGGAACGGTTCGAAAAGTTAAATCGAGCGTGCAACACAGGCTCAATCGAACAGTTTCGAAAGAATCGGTTCAGTGGCCGAATCGAATGGTTTGCCCCATTGCCTAATCCTCCTCTGAATCGAACGTTGAACTCACTGAATCTAGCGGTTCGAAAGAGTCGGCTCAGCAAACCGAATCTCCCTCTCTACGTTATTTGCCTGCCGAGCCGACTCTTCCGAAGCGCCTGATTCAGTGAATCGAACAGTCGATCCAGTGATTGGTGGGAGGAGTGTTAGTACGTGGCGAAAACATTTGATTCGGCCTTTCAAAACGGAACTGAATTGAACGTTCGACTCACTGCACCGGGCGCTTGGAAAGAGTCGGCTCAGCAAAACCGAATCGATCTCTCGCTCTCCGCTTTCTGCCTGCCGCCCAAACGTGGCGACAGGGGGCGTCCGACTTGTTGCTGCTGGGCAGGCGGTGGGAGGTGGGAGGTGGGAGGCAGCCAGGCTGCTGCTGCTGCTGCTGAGGAGGATGATGATGATCCGCTCGGTCGACATGCTGAACCGGGGATTCATCCAACCTCCCAGACCCTGAGCTCCACCTTTAAATCGGCCCCCCTCCCTCCCTCTATCTCTCTCTCCCTCTCTCCCTCTCTCTCTCTCCCTCCCCTCCTCACACCGTCCTTCCCCCCATGAAGCAGCAAGGCTGGAGAAGGTGGCCGTGATCGACCCCCCCTGACCCGCTATAATAAATGGTTTTGGAGCTGGCAGCGCCCGCCAGCGCAGGCCCGTCGCTGCAGCGCTGCATCCCGCACATCGAGCGCGTTTTCCGGGTGAAGGTGAGCTGCAGAGCCGCGGACCCCCAGCAAGGAGCCTGCGGCGGCGTGCTGGTCAACATCGACGATGGCACGGAGGAAGACTGCACCAAGGCGAAGGTAAGGAGCGTGTGGTGTGTGTGTGTGTGCGCGCGTGCATGTGCATGTGTGTATGTGCATGCACGCGAGTGTCATATGAATGGACACATTAACAACACAGTGGACCACGCTGCATCCACGCATCCTGCTGCACATCTCCACCTCACCTCACCTGGAAGAGTGGAAGAACGAGCCATAAATATGTCTGAGGCTCAAGTTGGCTTCTTATTCTTATTTCCCCGTTCCACCTTAAATGTTACTGCTGCACCATTTAAGGTGGAACGGGGAAATTCGCAGAAGAAGCCAACTTCTGCTTCGTGACTCTTCCTTCCTGGCATTCTAAGATGCTTTGGGCTACATTTACACTTCTTATACCTCTTTTTTAAATGATATCTGTCTTTAAATTCTTTTAAATGCCCAACAAGGCCAGAAAACATATACAAATGCTGCTACTAGGCTCTTTATGGTGGTTGTGGTGTTGGTGGTGGTGGTGGTGGTGGGGTCAAAGTGATGCTCACGACTCCTATTCTCCTCGCATTGCTCACTCCAGTGCACCCTGATTAGCTGTGCTTGGCTTCTGTTTTCCCTCCTTTGGCCACTTTGCTGATATTTATGCATCTGCTGATTGATGTAGGGCTGTAAAAGACTCAGATAGCTGCAGCACGTTGCACTGCACTCACATATGCACACATATATTACTCACTCCGAGCACACTACTGCATCAGGTGTCTTCTGATTTCTCTGAACTGAGCATGCTCAATGCGTGTGCAGTCTCGCCCATTTGGGCCAGGAAACGTTAACTGTTAGCTGGATAAAGTAGCACGAGGAGCTTAAAGGACGTATAAAGGCTTGTTTTGTAAGGAAAAACAACGTGACAGGTCATGCTGCAAAGTCAAAGCAGGTTCATACAGAGGTAAAGAGACGCTACAGAATCCGGGTATGCTGGGTAAAACACTCTGAATGGTACATTCGGGATTGACAGTGATGCTGGGGATGAATGAAGAAGATTCGGGAGCTGTTGAGATGCAGAATTACATAATGCAAGCTGGTGTTGTTAGCCACATTAGCACGTTGGGTGGACGTGTGTATGTTGGCCCAAAGTCAGCTTAACAGCGTTTGCGTAACATTGGGAAATCACATTGGACTCAAACTTTTTGGCCAGTGGGCCTGCATCGGCTTGATGGTGGCTGCTGACCAGTGTAGGTTGGTGAGCCTACATTTACCTGACATTGGCTGGAGACCAGTTTGCATCAGCTGGGAAAGGGCTTGGAAAGTCTACATTGTTTAGCTGAAAGTCCAGTGTTGACTCAACAACATGGCTTACATAAGTACAATGTTGGCAAATCACATTAGGCTGGTGGGCCTATGTTGACCAGGCATTGGCTATGGACCAGTGTTGGTTGATGGACCTATGTTGGCCTGATGTTTGCTGGTTATCAGAGTTGGTTGGTGGGCCTGTGGTGTATGCTGACCCGTGTTGGTTGATGGGCCTATGGCGGATGGTGACCAGTGTTGGTTAGTGGGGCCATGGCAGACGGTGACTAGTGTTGGTTGGTGCGCCTGTGTTGGCCCAGTGTTGGCTGGTTACCAGTGTTGGTTGGTGGGCCTATGGCGGATGGTGACCAGTGTTGGTTGGTGAGCCTACATTGGTTTGATTTTGGCTGGTTACCAGTGCTTGATGGTAACTCATGTTGTTTGGTAGGCTTATGTTGACCTGATGTTTGCTGATTATCAGTGTTGGTTGGTGGGACCTATGGTGGATGTTGACCAGGGTTGGTTGATGGGCCTACGACAGATGGTGACCAGTGTTGGCTGGTGCGCCTGTGCTGGCCTGATGTTGGCTGGTTACCAGTGTTGGTTGGTGGGCCTATAGTGGATGGTGACCAGTGTTGGTTGGTGGGCCTATGTTGGCCTGGCATTGCCTATGTAAGTGGGTGGGCCTGAATTCGCTTGACATTGGCTGGAGACCAATTTACATTAGCCAGTCAAGTGCTTGTTTCGCTAAAAGCCCAATGTTGGCTCAACAGCATCGCTTCTGTAGACCTAATGCTGGCAAATCAAGTTAGGCAAGTAGGCCTACATTGGCCGAAACATTGGCTATTGACCAGCGTTGGTTGGTGGGTCTACGGTGGCTGGTCATAAATGTCGCTTGGTGGGCCTACGTTGACCTCATATTAGCTGGGCAGCAGTTTGCATTAACTAGATAAGGGTTAAACGTTAGCCTGTACCAATATAAACCTAGTAAAAGCTATGAGCTGCCAAAATGTGGTAAAAGCACATTTGCATTTGACATCATGACACAGTAGCTGCAGTGTTTTGCTACCATTTTAAATAGCTTAAGTTAGCACAGCAATAATATGAACAGTAAAAACTGTCATCATAATGAATAAACAGGTAATTCACACTTTAACTTGAGTTTCCAAGCACACTGACATTCAGAGAGCTTTATCAAGTGGGGCTAATAGTTTAATAAAAGTTCATTTATTGCTTTGTGATTTATGCTGGAACATCTACTTTATATGTCATTTAAGTTACATAAACTACATGCAGTAAATATCTACAAAGAATATATGACTTATAGTAACAAACGGTATTTTTTGTCAACTATTTTTCTTACAAAGGCGATCATAAATACAGAGGTTGGATGCTTTCCTTTGTCAGTCAATGAAAGAGAACATTCTTTGACTTAAATGAAGCTTCCTAGAGTGTTTATAAAGCGTTCCAGCACTAATAGCATCAAAACTGACTGTAAGTTTTAGCGATTAGCTAATCGGCGCTAACTT